AACCCTTCTTTTATATATATATATATATATATATATATATATATATATATATATATATTTATATATATATTTATATTACGTAACCAGATTTTACATAACGGTCATCTTGATTGCTGCCTCAACATCAAGGTTTTCGCATATCAGCCGCATTTGTTGCAATATCAAATATCAAGACACAATTAAAATCATGACCATAATTTAAAACCTTATTCTGTAACTATCACTAACTCAAAATTAGAACAAGAAAAAATCCAAATAAATTACAAAACAAAGAAGAAACTATTGATACAAGTGTGAACAAAAAAGCGTAGGGCTGGAGTTGAAAAGAGCTAATCTGGAAAGTCACATAAAGAAAACTATTGGAACAAAATCACAGATGACACATGCATATTAAAAGACTTATCATACCTCTTCTTCACAGTTAAGTAAAACATCCTTGATCCTGAACACCTCCTCAACATATTGAGACTCTTCTTCAATCTCATCAGTCAATGCTTCTGCTTCCCCAAAGCTGTAATTGCTAACTTGGTTCATGTTCATCTCCCCAGGATCATCATTAGTACTATTGACCTTGCTCTCTTTACTTGCACCCGCTTCACACTCAAACTCAGCACCATCTCCATCAAAACCACTCTTGCATCCACCACTCCCTTCACCATCATCATCATCATCCACTGACACGGCCAACTCCACCCTCTCACACCCCAAACATCTACTCAACCTGCAAGAGAACAACCTCTCTGCAATCCCATCCCTCCTCAACCTGAACTCCTTGGGACAATCAGAAGCAGCCACCATGATCGCATGGTCAATGATGCCAAATATGTCAGAGTTTGCAGCTCCAAAGTAATTCCTCCAGTAATCAAGTGACCCTTTATTCATTCTCGTCATCAAAATCCAAAAACCACAGCCCCAGATCAATAGATCGAGGGAAAACTAAATCCACCAACCACCCACCAATCAAAATCGATTTTTTTCCATGCCAATTGTCACTGATCAATGCAAAACAACAAGAGCCTCGATGCAACCCAGAAAAGAAAAAGTACTGGATTGTCCTTGCCCTTGAGAAAATAGATTAAAGGGGTTCAATTTGGGTGGCCTACGATCGATGACCAAAGCTTAAAGCTACGTTTTTTTTTTTCTATTTTTCTTGTTTAAAAAATAATATTTTTGGTGTTGCGTTTTGGCAAAGGGTGGGTTTGGATTCAGGTGTGGGCAATGGATAAACGTTGGATTGGGAGGGGATGGAGGATTACAGTAACACCACAAATTCAGAAACAGACACACGAATTATTATTATTATTATTATTACAACAAACGTTTCAGATTCTGGTGTTAAAGTAAAAACCTCCTCCAAGAGAGAAACACCACCTTTCCCTGGTTTTTCTCCAAGGAAAAACAGAAGAAAAAAATTAAATAAAATAAAAAATAAATAATAAAAAAAAAGCTTAGGAAAAATGGATGGTATTAATTAACGAAATTTGGAGCCCAAAACCGAACCAGAGGTTTCAGAAGATTTTCTATCTACTTTAGTTTCTTCTGTGTCTTTGTAATGTTCTTCTGTTTTCAGTTTGAACAAACTAACAAGTGCTGAAAGGAAGGCAAAGGAAAAGAATTAAAAATAAATAAATTGGGGTTCTCCAAACCGCCCTCTGAAAAGACAAAAGAGGGGTTGTTGCGGTGTTCCTGAATTTTAATGATTTTGGCTCGGTTTTGACTTGATCCAAAACTGTGGTTAGAAAAATAAAATAAAATAATTGGGAAAAGAAGAAAAGTGTTTCTGCAATCTTCTTATTTTCTTGAAGAATTAATGGAGGTTGTATCAATTAAAAACGCAAAAAAGGACGTGAAATGATAATAAAAGTAGGTAATGAATGTGATGACTGATGAGATATACTATATAGTTAGAAACAAGAGGCGTTTCCGTGGACCGAGTTAGATGGGGCCCTCGTGAAGGTCGGAAATTCCAAATTAATTTTTTTTTTCTTCTAATCCAAACTTAAACATGATATTGAGAAGAAAAAAAAAATGATACACGACCATTTAATTTCATATTAAATATATTATTTTAAATACATAAAAAAGAATATTATCTTAAAATATTTTTAATAGTTATTTTTCAACATAAATATTTTTTTATTTTTTTTATTTTTTTATCTTCTTCAATTATTATTTATCATGTTTATTGTTATTAAATTTTAATATTTTAAAATAAATTATAAGTAATTAAAAATAATTTATATCATAATATAAATTATTTATATTAATTCAAGATAAAATTATATATTTAAAAATATTTATTTATCTAAATTTTAAATATAATTTATATATTTAAATATAATATTTATTTATATAATAATTATAAATTTTAGTAATATTTAATTATATATTTAGTCTGTAAAATGTACAAACTAAATACGAGTAAAATAAAATAAAGATAACAAAACTTAAATAATAGAGAGTGATGTTTTTGCTTGAAATAATGATGAATAATTTATAATTAAAGAATGGGTGTTTTTATAATTAAATTCCCTGTTTTTTCAATAAAGAGTGAGTGGTTTAGACCAATGATAAGAGTAAAATATTTAAAAAAATCTCTTTACAAAAAGGTAAAGGAGATATATCTTTTAATAAATAAATAAATAAAAGAAAATAGATAATTGTGTTAAGTGGTGTTATAAATCCCTTCTATTATAGTTTATAAATTTTAACAATAATATCTGATTTAGTATCTTCTTTTTCAAGCTATTTTTAAAAATATTTTCATTTTGATTATTTTTTATAAATTTTTTGTTTATTTTTATTTTTTGAGAAATTCTTTTACACTGATAAAATTTTTAATTTTTTTAACCTTTTATTTATTTCAGATTTTATTTATCATATATGTATTTATATATTTTTTTAATATTTTAAATAAATTATCAATAATTAAAATAATTTTATGTCATAACAAATTATTTTCCATGAATATAAAATATAATATATATTTAAAATATTTATTTATACAAATTTTAAATTTAATATTTATTTATATATTATCTATTATAAATTTTAATTATACATATTAAATATTTAGCTTATATAATGTGAAAGCTAAAATATTAGTTATATAAAAACTAATTAGTAAATGATTTAGTATCTTCTTTTTCAAGCTATTTTTAAAAATATTTTCATTTTGATTATTTTTTATAAATTTTTTGTTTTATTTTTATTTTCGAAATAAGCAAATATGCGGGATAAGATAATAAAGAAACATATTCTCAAAAATAAATTTATCAAGAAAAGTAATTATTTTCTCATCAGTAAAAATATTTTCAAATCTATACTTACCAAATAGGTTTTTTTTTTTCTCATTTTATTATGAAAAATAGGTTTTCAAAATTACTTTAGAGAATAATTTTTAGAAATAAAAACCAAAATACGATTAAATAAACAACCGTGCCCTAATTTTATCTTTCTATTTTGGTGCATCTCATCAATTATGTACTTTTTAGCTGTTTTTTTTTCTTTCATAAATATCCGAACGGGTTTACTATATCAACAAAAAAAAAAAACAAATTGTATCTGGTGATAAAACATAATTTTTTATAGTGATAAAACTTATAACTCTTTTAACTTTTTATCTATTTTAAATTTTATTTATCATATATTTATTTATAATTTTTTAATATTTTAAATAAATTATCAATAATTAAAAATAATTTTATGTCATAACATAAATTATTTGCCATAAATAAAATATATATATATTTAAAATATTTATTTATATAAATTCTAAAATTAATATTTATTTATATATTATTGATTATAAATTTTAATTATATATATTAAATATTTTGCTTATTTAATGTGAAAGCTAAAATATTAGTTATATAAAAACTAATTAATAAATGAGTGAGTATTTTTTTGGAATTTTTTTTTCTTTCTCTTGGTGAATCAATATGAATTTAAAAGTCTCAGAATTTGGATCTTTTGTTATAGTTTTACTTGCTTGTAACACTTTTTTCTTTTAATTTGCATCAAGATATTCTCTAATCAATAGTTTGATTTGCTGACATTGAGCTTTTGAAAGATTTCATTGAAATGACAACATGAGTTGTTTCTTGTATATGTAAAATATGGTTGTGTTCCTCCTCAAAATCATGCACTATCAATTTTCCACACATGTTTTATTTGAATAATCATGTGATAATTAATTTTTAATATTATCTTTAAAAAAATGAATATAAATCCATTTATATAATAAATATAGATAACTATCAACTATACTATTAACGTCAATAGTTATATAAAGATAAGGTATCTTTCTAATGAAAATAATAAATATATCTACATTATTTATATTTTTAAAAATTTTGTATTAGTGTCTTAAGATTTTGTCTTAAAATAATTTAGTTCTGTTAAAAAATATATAAAATTTAGTCAAAAATTATTTTTTTTTAAATAAATTTGAATATTATATAAACAATTCAACATTAAGTTGAATATATTATTCATAATGAATTGAAGTATATTTTTATAATATTTTATTAAAATAATTTTATGGATTATATCTTGAGTGGATTTTTTATTCTGACCCGCAATAGATACAAAATATTGATAGAATATGAAACTTTATATTTTATTTATTTATCTAACTATCCGAAAAGTCGACACATAGAATATACATTTTTAATAAAAACATTTTCCATCTTAAAAGTTAACATTTAAAACATAGACATTTTCTATCTTAATATTCTCATGCAAGATGTCAGCATACACATAATATATATATATATATATATATATATATAAACACAAGAAAAATATATAACAAATATCTATGCATTAGTTAAAAAAAAATAGAAGATTTCTATCAATATGTTTGGTTAGGAAGATTGAAATAGAAATGAGTGAAGTAGGAAGGATATAATGATAATATATTTCACTTGCTTCTCTAGAGTCAAAATAATAAAGAAAATGAAATCTTTTCATAGAGTCTATGGATTATACTTGTTTTCTGTTTTTAATCTCTTGTAGAACTATTGGTCATGAGTTCGTTACTATTAGCATTAATTAATCACTTATTATAAATATATCAGTCGTTGAATGATATAGGGGCCTAATTAATTAATAATAGTAGTTTAAATTGCATGTAAAATATGCCAAAAAGCTAATTAATTTACAATAGTTTTATTAGAATCAGGATCTTTTCTTACAATTTGTCTATAGCGTTTCAACATCTCTTATTATAATTGTTCATTTTTTTTATGCATCTAAGGGCTACAAATGAAAATCCACTACCACATGTCTTCTTCTAATATTTTCGCGCAGGGGATCATTACATGAGTGTGCTCTAAGTCTCTAAATCTAAAAAGTGCAGCGCTTTCATTTATGATTTTGAAAAGCAAGCACATGAAGGATTCCTAGTTGGTGACGTTGGCACTGTTGAGGAGACCAACGCGTGGCCGCATGTCCACCGTGGAGAAGAGAGACTAGTTGGAGTAACGTACCACGCACTCGCCAAAGCGCATTCGGAGAAGAGACACTGTGTGGCATTCACCACGCACGGGAGACACGTCGCCCCTACACATGAACAGCCCACACACGGTGTCGAAGGAGGATGCTCCCATGGTGGTGTTCAACAATTCGGCAGAGGAAGCGTTGGAAATTAAGGAAGTGAAAAGGGTTTACGTGTTTAGTCTTGTTGTGCACCGGGGGTTACCACACATATACACATGTCTCCACATTGGTGAGATATTGTCCGCTTTGGGTCCAAGCCCTCACGGTTTTGCTTTTGGACATCACCCAAAAGGCCTCTCAACCAATGGAGACAACTGTGTGTATATAAATTCATGTTCATCCTCTTATTTGAATGATGTGGGACTTTGCTTGCATGTGTGTATATAAACTCATGTCCATCCTCTTGTTTGAATGATGTGGGACTTTGTTTGCATCCCAACAAGTTGGTAGGCGTTGTTGGCAGTGGTATTGCTGCCTGTGACTGCGCTTCTTCCTCGTTGCCTGGCTGCCTAGTCCATAACTGTGTTTCTTCCCCGTTGCCTGGTTGCCTAGTTCGTAACTGTGTTGCATTATTGATCTTTTCTGAACTTGGGCCAAATCTTTTCGATCACTAATGATGATCCTCGCATGTGTTTCTGTCCTTTGATTTAGTTTAGGCAAAGCTAGCACAAGCCATTAGCATCTATGGCAATTATTAGGAAATGCCCAAGTTCTTGATTTTGCACCGAGTCTTTGTAGTTCATAGAGGGTGAAAAATGTAATTGCAATGTTGTAACAGACATTAGTTTCAATTGAAAATGATATTGCACTGCTCCAATTCATTTGAAATTCAATTCTTTTTATGTAACAATTTTAAGTTGAGTTGGTTGTTGATTGCATTTGTTTTGCGTACAACTATAAGTTACTTGTTAATGGTTGTTGTCTAAACTTAACATAATATGAGTTGTAAATAAATCTGGTTAAATGGAACTACAAAGGACAGATTGGCATAATCTGTTATAAACTTAGCATAATTTGAGTTGTAAATAGAACAGATTGACAACACAAACTAAAATGGATTGGTCAAATGGAACTGCATAATCTAAATTGTAAATAGAATTGCATAATAAGTGGCAGATCAGAATTTTAAAGAGTGTGCAACAACTGAATTGCAAAGAATGTGTAATAACAAAAATGCATAAACTAAACTGCATAATTAGGGACAACACAAAATTGCAAATAGCTTTGAATAACATAACAAAATGGTCAAAAAGCATTGCAAGTAGCTTGTTGTTGCAGCTTATAGTTTACATCTCTATGGGTTGGTCAAAGTTGTGATATCCCCATCAAATGGTGCCTACAATTTAAAA